GTGTGTGTGTGTGTGTGTGTGTGTGTGTGTGTGTGGTGACTTTTATTTGGGGACAAAAGTCGAGTCCCTATTTGGTTTAAATGCCATTGGTTGGTTGGGGGTTGGGTTTAGGACCAAGGTGTGAATTGAGTTTAGGTTAGTTTTAGGGTCAGGTAGGTACCTGTGAGGTTAGCCTTAGGGTTTGTGGTCAGGGTTAGGCTGTAGAAATGTAATGGAAGTCAATAGAATGTCCCCAAATGTATAGCTGGGCGAACCTGTGTGTGTGTGCTCACCGTGGTTTGTGGAATCGGGTTGTTAAAGGAGGAGGGAGCTTCCCCGTTTGCAAAAACAGGCGAGTCCTCTTGCATCATTCCCCGTCTGTCCAGGACACTGGAGACAGACGAGACAGTGAGTTGCTCTGGGAGCTGCTTTTTTTTTTTTTTTACAGATCAGAACCAGGGAGAAATCTAAAAGTCTAATCTGATGCTGATGACACAGTATGAAAAGAAAAGACATTAACCGTGACATAAAAACAAGATGGACGGTAAAGAACTCTAAATACCTCGGGTACGTCGGTCCGCACAAGACCTCGCAGCAGTTTTTGATGATGTTCTTGTGGCTGTACGGGTTCTGGATTCTGTTCTTGCCCGACCAGGACCCTTTAATCTGGACAAAACAAAACGGATCACAGCGTCCATCAGCTGGGCAACATCTCCCCAAACATCAGCTCCCCTGCCTGTTGGCGCTCATAAAGACGCTCCTGCTGATGCTTTATTTAAAGGCTTACTTCCATCTTTAGACGTTATTCCCACCGGCTTGGTTTGACCCACTAAAATTTATCTTGTACTGTAAGGGTTTAATGATTCTGGGTTTAATGGGAACATCAAGCGATTAAAACCACTCCTGTAATTAGTTCCCAGAATCCATACTCTACGACGAAAACCTTTTTCTGGGTGTTGGATACTCTTACTGCCCGGCGAAGATGAAAAATGTATTGAGCTCATTATCGTCATGTAAACAAGCTTCATGAGCTGCATTTTCTCTAGTTTTGACACTAAAATTACACTTCTTTTAGAAATACATACAGACATCCCAGCATGACATCACTTCTATTTTATGGAGGTTAAAATTTTTATGTCTGAAACAATAAATTACAAAAATATTTAGATGCTTTTTTAAGTCTTTTTTTAGATTCCCTCGTGCTCAGAAAAGAAATAAATCCTCTCAAATTTTAAAATCCTTGTTTAAGACACAATAACAGCCACGTTAAGTTTATTTTTTTTTTACATTTTTGTGACTTGAGCCTGAGAAGTGATTCATATCTGAACACATGGAGCAACAGAGATTTGTAAAGACAGATACTTTTTCATRTCTCAGGGTTAAAAATTACTTTATTACAGCTTATTGTGCACTCTGAGGTAATCTGCATGTCATTGGACCCGTGACCTGTGTAATAACAATAAAGTTGAATCTGACTCGCAGCAACATCATATTTGAGCGCAATATCTGTAAAACTAACAGAGTTTGAGATATTTTAGATGGGCTTATGTGGATTAGCTGTACTGACGGTCTTGAATTGAATTGGCCACAAAAGCCATAGTAGACGTTGTTCTGCTAATCCGCTAACGGCTAACGGAGAAGCTAATTTTATTTTCTTTAACAGATTTTGAAACTTTGAAAACAATTAGCGAACCAATTTGCTTCCAATAAATTTAAGCCCGCTAACAAAACTCATACGTTTGTTCCTGTCTCTTATAACAATTTAGCCAAGAAAGAAATAAAATAAAACCTTTTGGGGACTAATTAGTTACTGCTAAATTTAGTTCAGAAAACTTTACAACCTCTAACAAAACTCACATTTGTTCTTGTTTGTTTTAGCCTTTTATTAAAAACATGATGTGTAATTTTGCCCCCAGTACTGACAGCTTGGAGGTTTAAGTTAGCGGTTATCTGTCAATATTAGCTTCTGCTATAACTTTAACCTGTTTAGCAGTTTAGCATTAGCAAAGATAGGATTTTTAGTTGGTGCTTTAGCAGTTAAAAAAAATAAATATTCAGTTAACACTGCTCCATGTGTGTGCTCAGTTCTCACATGTATGATGAGTGAAAAGCAGAGAATTTTTAAATTTCCCCAAGGGGATCAATAAAGTATCTATCTATCTATCTATCTATCTATCTATCTATCTATCGTTTTGGTTAGCTGTGCCCACCACTGTCAAAAGTTAATTATAGATAACTTTTTAAAGGTTTCAGTAAAATCTGTCTGGTGGTTTTTCTGATATTTTGCTAAAAGACATAAAAAGTTGATCGCTACTGGACCTTTAAGTGGCCGCCTGCTGCTCCACTTCGGTGATTTTTACGTTTGATGGATGCAAATCTGGTCTAAATATTCTATAGGTCTGGGAAAACGAGTGAAAGCTGAATAAGCTCATCTGTGTTTGATCTTGTCAGAGTTCAGYGTGAACTGACTGAGTCGCAGGTTTAGGCTGTTTGCTGTGTTCTGTATAAGTGGGTCATCATCCTGCAGAAGGTGTCTCGGCGCCGCAGGTCTCTGTGAACCTGCAGGACACAATGAGACACCTGCCTGCACGTGCCGTTTATGAGAACCCAGAGCAGCTACTGGATAACATTCAGAGTGTGTTCTCCGTCTCCTCTCTGCTCCCTCGCAGCAGGGTATCTGGCTGTGTTCCCAGCCCCTGCAGTATCGATGCATCTATTATTAGGTCCATCAGAGGCTGAAACACACGCTGACAGCAGCAACGGTCTCAAACACCTGAAGCAAAAGTCACACTGTAGCTGCAGCAGAGGTTCATTACTGATTAAAAGAAAAAAGAAAAAAAAACTAGGTCAGCCATCCCACCGGAAAGAAATAAGGAAACTATAAATTAATCATCATAACAAAATACGAGAGCGCTCGTTTTCTTCCACCATCAGTGCCGCTGCTTCCMGTCACGCAGCATCCCTCACCTTCGGCCACTCATCATCTGCTTTACATCACCCTAGATTAACGAGCACGCTCATCTCTGGGTGTTGTCACTAAAAATGTCTTAACGCAGCTGAAATCAATCGATTTCTTGTCCTCGTTTYGGCCCCGCGAAGCGACTAAACGCAGCCGCCACGGTGAGAGACGGAAACCAGGGAGTCAGATCTGTCCGTACTTTTAATACGAATAGAAGCTATTTGTGTATTTTTATTTTTAGATCATTAGATAAACCCGCAGAGACGTCCAAGTGCTGCTTTTAGCTTTGAGCTGATTTACTAGACGATGGGGCAAAAAGGCTCAGAAAAAAAAAACTGCACCTGACAGTCAAGAAAAAAAAAAACAAGAACTCAAGGACATGCAGACATTAAACTAAAAAATAATGTAAACTATAAAATAACCTGTGGTTCTATTCTGAGTAAAATTGTGTGGTTGGTTTATTTTTACATCAGCTTCCCTTTTACTTTACAACAGCCTCATTTACCAAGCTTACACTTTACCAGCCCTGTGTCCTTCAGCTCTGCTGTTGCCACAGAAACATCTCTGTTGTCATAGAAAACACAGCGTTTACTCCTCGATGATGTATGTTTGTCTTTCCAGCCGTATGAAGACAGCTGTCCTGATCGCTTTATTTAAGGACGTGGGTTTTAAAAATATGTCGTTTTATGTCTTTTGTTCTTCAAATAAAAGCAGCAGAAGCTTTCAGCCGTAAGACGTCTATGATCTGTGTGCTAATGTTTACAACTATTTAAAACCTACAAAAAACGTAGGCATTAGGTTTTAGACTTGGTATTTTGGTTTTACAGTTATTTGTTGCTCACAGCCGCCCACTCTCACTGAAACACATTCACTATGATTCAATTAAACAAAAAAAGTGTTGCTTCAAGCTGGATGCTGAAACAACTGAGTATTAGGGTCACACAACGAGATGTTTTTATTATTATTATTATTATTATTATTACGAGAATATGGTCATAATATGATGAGATTAAAGTTGTAATTTTATGAGAATAAAGTCATGATTTTACAAGATTAAAGTCGTAATTTTACGAGAATAAAGTCATAATTTTACGAGAATAAAGTCATAAAATTACGGGATTAAAGTTGTAATTTTATGAGAATAAAGTCATGATTTTACAAGATTAAAGTCGTAATTTTACGAGAATAAAGTCATGATTTTACAAGATTAAAGTCGTAATTTTACGAGAATAAAGTCATGATTTTACAAGATTAAAGTCGTAATTTTACGAGAATAAAGTCATAAAATTACGGGATTAAAGTTGTGATTTTATGAAAATAAAGTCATAATATTACAAGAATAAAGTCGTAATTTTACGAGAATAAAGTCAAAATATTACAAGATTAAAGTCAAAATATTACAAGAAAAAAAGTCATAATATTATGAAAAAAATCATCTTACATGACGTTTCCATTTCCCATTCCTCATTCCCTCCTTATTTTTTCCCCACTCATTCAGTATAAACCCATGTGTCTGTGTTTATAAAGTAGTCCACGATGACTTGGGTTACTGTTAGATTATAGCTATGTGACGACTAAATCTGTCAGTGCATGCTTCAGATTAACATATAGTCGTTCGCACAATTTCCAAGTCCTACTACTGATAATTTGATGCTAATGTGCTAAAAATTAACTATTTATTTTAAGCAATACTAAGGAACAACTTGACAAGTTGCTCAACCTTCCTCATTTTAATGCAGTGATAAMTGCATGCTTTTACATGTAAAGGCAAGAATATTATGACTTTAATCTCATAATATTACAGGTTATTCTCATAATACTATGACTTTATTTTCACAAGACTTTAATGTTGTAATACGATTTTTTTCTTGTAATTTAAAAATAATCTTGTTGTGTGGCCCTAATGCTCCGTTGTAGAAACAGTAGTCATAAACTACAAATAAACAAAAAGAAAAATGAGTTTTTAGAATCTATCAGTGGTGGATACAGCTAGCCAAAATGTTAGATTTGCTAACGCTAAACTGCTAACTGCTAAGATGACTGTCTCTTGGTCTTTGTCACACGACTTTGTCTCCTTCCAGCTAAAAACTGACTGACTCAGACCTGTTGATGTTAGGTAGCTGTTAGCTGTCTTAAAGTTGGAAAAACATAATTTAGCAGAAGCTAATAGTCCATTAACATTTTTCAAAGTTAGAGAAAAAGCTAATCCACCAAATTTTAAAAAAAAATTGCTCCGCTATTAGCTGTTAGCACAACCGTACCCACTACTAGCATCTAAGCAAAATTACCAAAATCAATTTTTRAAACTGGGGGACACAATGGAGTGTGCTGAGGGGACAATGGCCACCACAAAGAAACAGAAGTTACCCTAAATATGAAAACAGCAGAATAAACTCTGACATCATGAAATTCTGTCAGGAYGTTTGGATTTGGCATTTGTGATCATAAGCAGACTCGCATCAGGACTCTTGTCCAAACATGGACACGCTACAGACAGAAGACAGTCCATCAGAGGACGTCACAGACTTCATCTGGGCAGATGGTGAAATATTTATTTGTAAGAGACTCGTGCCACCGATGAAAACAGCTCCAGCATGACAGAAAATAATMATCTCCCAAGTTACACCCAGATGGGATCCGTTAGTGTTTACAAACCACTTAGATTGAGCAAAGAGTGGAAATGAAACCTCTTGTTTTCTGTCTTCACAATAAGCAAACATTTCAGAATCTTGCTTCAAATCTTCTGCTAATCATTAACATTTACAGCTACATTAAAAAAAAACTTAAAAAATACTCAGTGGTGGGCACAGCTAACCAAAAAGTTAGTGAAAATAATCCGCTGAACAAAAAATTTGTTCCACTCTTAGCTTATTAGCGGAACCATGCCCACCACTAATACTGTAGATTTTCAAGGTTTATAGATTATATATTTTCCATCAGAAATAGATCACAGTTAAAGGTGAAGATTTTCAGCTAATGTTTTGGTTTAGAACTAGCTGAGAGTCATCCCCAACACATACAATATCTAAGGAGCTTTAAAGGGCCTGTGACATCAAATTTTAATAATAAATACAAATATATTTTTGGAAAGACAACACTGATAACATATTGTAAAAAAGATTTCATGCCGCCAAGATGAACAGTTGTTGAGATATTCACATGTAAAGAAACAGGAAGTGATGTCAAACAGGAAGTGATGTCAAAGGGGAATGTCTGAATGTAAACAGAGTGTTGCTAAAATGGCTAACAGCACAGACTGCAGAGAAGACTCTGATGTTTCTTCAGATTATTTTAATCACCATCACAGACAGATGAKAAASAGYCATAATTCAAATAATATTGTTTCAATAAACAAAAACCAGGGAGTTTTCTTTCTCAAAGAGTTCCCCTTTGATGTCACGTCCTGTTTCACTTTAACTGAGTCAAATTCAAAAAAAAAATATGCCAACTATGTGACATAATGGGTCAAGTCATGTGTAATTTGCCAAGTTTCTTAAATATAAATAGATTTTCTTTGACTTTTTGTATTTCATGGATAGGCACGTCACAGGCACTTCAAATAACTAAATTTTATATTATATTTCTAAYGTGTTTTGATGAACTCACGTCCTCGTTGGTGGTCTGGTTGAGGGAGATCAGGTAGGTGTGGAAGCCGGTCAGTCCCACCACTGACCACAGGGTGAAGAAGCACACCAGCACCTCCAGCACCGTGAGTCTGAGTTAAAGAAAACAGCAACACCTGTTTCCTACCTGACTAACACGCTGATTAAACAGAGAACAGAAGGTTRAACACAAGATTACACAACTTAAATTAAACCAACCAACGTCAGTGGAAAAATAAAGGAGGAAAATCAGGAACACAGATATTTGAGCTTCTTACATTTAGTGTACAAAAACATAAGTTCAACAGTTGCTGAACAGGTTTAGATCAGGATGGAGACATTTGAGCATAATGTTCTTCAGAATTTGCATTTAAAGGATATGTTCCAGGTGTTTCCTTCAATGTGTTCAAAAAGCCTTGATCAACTGAGCCTGTAACAAAACAGAAACATTTTTATACTTACAGCACTTCCTAAGGTACAATTCTAACATATTACACATTCTGTTCCTGAAATCAACTAAAAGTCAGTTCACTCACGCATGACGACGTGGACGATGTTGAAGGTGAAGATGTAAATGGTGAGCAGGGACAGGGTCAGGGTGAACAGGTAGAAGTATCTGTAGTTCCTCTTGCCCACGCAGTTGCCCACCCATGGACAGTGGTGATCAAAACGGTCTGAAAACAAATACAAGGATGCAAGTGATTTTAGAAACTGGATGTGCCAAAAATAAAACCCCTCTGCTGCGTGAGCGCCTGTAATCCTCCAGTCCAAATATAGAAAACTTTTCTGTTTGTCCTCCTCTATCACTTGGAGCAAAGCCAGACAGAAGGAGGCCAGAGGGTCAAATGAACAACAGAGGTAAACATTTCCACACACTTCTCTCTGCAGCAGCTCCGCAGATGGAGTTTCACAAGAACAAGACAAAAACCAGAGAAGCTCGAACAAAATGAATCATTGTTTGTAGAACGACACGAGAATTTAAACTGGTTTTGTTGTTTTTAGAGTTGAATATTTAAATTTTGCCGATCGAGCTGGAGATAAAATTTGAGACGTCACAGTCCAGGAAGGCCAACCTGCAATTTTACACATTCCTCTTTTGTGTACTTTATTTATTTATCCAAAGCTGAGAAATGTTGAACTTCCTGGGATTTCCTGGTGTCCCTGAAAAGAATCAAAGCTGTATTTCAACATAAAATTTACTGGTTAAATTTGTTAAATTCCAACGGCGTTTTCCACAGCAACCTCAACGTTTCACTTGAATAAACCTGCGACCCGGACGCTTCTCTTCTATTGAAATCACATTGAATTGATAGGTTTGCACTTGTTGCTCAAACTCCAGGTGAAATTTCAGCCAATTTGTCAGAAGCTGAATATTTTCCTTTTGACTTTTGTTCTGAATAAAAAAAAGCAACAAAAGGTCATTTTTAGCCAGAAATGATCATGTTTTATGGGAAGAATATATTCTTCTATATAAGGCTGGGCGGTATGACCTCAAATACATATCACGGTATAAATTGAATCCCTTCATGGTAACGATATATATCACGGTAGAAAATTATCATAAAAAGCAAAAATAATGTAATTTTTAGAGCATTTATTTTGCAGAAAACTAATCATAATCAAACCCAGCTTTTTTGCTGTAGTTCAAATGAACATAACAGAAGTACAAAAGAATGTTTTATACATATTGCAAAACGGTTTTAACAACAAACAAAAACATTTCTCAAATTTTCAACAATATCAAAATAAAGTGGATGTTATAACCAGTACTTCAAGTRAAATTAGTCATTTAGACATTAAAAAATGCTAAGTTGGCATAAATTGCCTAAAATTTTATAGTGTGACGGGACCTTAAGCTGCACAGTCCTGTTATAAAACTATTTCAGATAACTGGAATGTCAGTGTGGTGACGCCAAATAAATGTAATATCTGCCTGCCATACAATGAGCTTCTGCCTGCTGAACTTATCGGCTGCTGCTCTGCTGCGCTCTCRTCTTCATCATCAGAGCAGAAGCGACACATCAGCAAGAAGGATTTATGACTGAACGAATTGTCCACGTCGTTTTTTTTTTAAATCATCTCTGAGTAAAAATACATAAAAAGTTTTTTCTACAACAACTTGGGTGTGAAATATTACAGTTGTTAATGCTTCGCTCTGCGCGACGTGCAGCAGGAGGGAGGGAGGAAATGATCCCACAACACGACGGCACGACATAACTTTTCTACAGTGGGAGGGGGAAATGTTGAGGATTTATTCTCTCTATACACGTTTTAAAAACGCTATATTTCTACATTATATTTCAAACTCCTCCWGCTCAGTTGTCTCTGCACTCGCAGCCATGTTGACACAGGTGCGATGATGTGACTGCTGACAGGAGAGTAGAGGGTAMATTTYGACCGTAGGCCAACTTCATATTGTTTCCACCGTCTATCACTGCGCAGCCCTACTTCTATACTGATGGTTACATGGTTTATCATAAAACTATTTTAAGTCTAATCTCCAGAGTTAAAAATAAACAATGAGAAGAACTTTACGGTGGAAAGTCAAAGGGCAGGTTTGACCCTCAGAACAGCAAAAATTGCAACCAAAGATCCTCTATTTAACATGATGCATCACTAATGATACGATGATTCCAGTCCTAGAAGAGCTGAAAGTAGAGACAGGAGAGAAAATGTTCATTCAGATTTATTTTATTTCCTTCTGTGCAACAGATTGTGTGACAGTAAGCTGCTAAAACACAAGCAGGCTTCAAACAAAGTCCCTTTTTTCTGATTTGTTGGTTTATAATGAGCCAAATTTATGTTTGGATAATTGGAAAATTTTACCCCCATTTCATAACAGACTGAACATCGTTTGGAGAATGATTAGTATTCTTTAGTGTTTATATCACACATCAACTGTTTAACACCTTCAGTTCATGCCTGTCCTCACCTGGTGTGTGTTTTTAGTTGTAATAAGCGAGTTTGCAGAGACTGATGTCGAGCGTTGTGCTCAACATCAAACAAACCCCACAGAGAGGCGAGCAGGACTGCTGACTGCTGCCAACGTCTGTCCCGAGCCGCGCAGGTTTTTAAACTGCACTCAGAGTGCAGCAGGACCATAATCCTCCACRCCGCCCGGTCGATGTTATAAAGCTGCAAGCTCCGCACTCGCTTAATAATTAAACTGGTTTTCCATTTCTTCTGTGAGCAGCCTGAACATTTAAACTGCATTTTGACCGCAAAAAACTTCTTTCAAATGAAATGTGCTGGTCCAGAAAAATCAACTAACCTGCACCTTGAGATTATAGGCTAACAGACGCTGCAGCAGTGTAGCGCTAGGTTTGTGTGTGTGTGTGTGTGTGTGTGTGTGCCCACAGCAGGTGGACACAGATGAACCAGTGTTCACAATGACTGAGCATCTATTCTCAAACTGAGGCCTGACTGTTTGACTCTACGGCTTCTTTCAGACACATTCCACCATTATCAGCAGCTGGATCCCTGTTCTTCTGCAGCACTGAGATGATGCAGCAACACACACACACACACACACACACACACACACACACACACACACACACACACACTTGTATTT